TTATTTCATTCAAGTGTGAGGCAGAGTCTGGCAGGCATTACCACGAGATACGAAGACGGTTGGTTCATGGGGAACTTTCGGAGCTTCATATCTTCACTTCGGATTTCATCCCGCCCAGCAGACGAGAACACACCTTCAAAAACAAAGCTACACCTCTCGAACTTCACAGCGCGCTCACACGGAAGCAACACCAAAACAAGAACGGTCGAATCAGTTAAGAAGAAAATAACACCGAAACAAGAAATGTAAAATCAATTGACAGGTCCAGAAACAAGAAATGTGGACTCAGTTGACAAGTCAATGTCTATTGATTCAAAATCACCAGTATATCTCTGACAAGTAACCCACAAGTTGTTAACGGCGATTTCACATGAAGGCGCGACGGCCTAACCTAGTTAACGTCTTTTAGGCGTCGCTGCCGCCGAACGCCTACATTAAGCAAGTCGGCTCATGATCAATTTTGGAGGTAGCTATGTAATCTTTGCTTGATCGTAGAATCCACAGTTTTGTAAAGCGTGTTGTGATTACTACAAACTCATTTCGATAATCGAAAGTGCAAATTTTCCGGTATCGCGAACTTCTCTTGACGACTGTTATTTATTGAGCAGGTCTCGATACGAAAATGACGTGGCACAGTTGCATGGCTGTGACACCTCGGTTGTTTCTTCTATGTGATCCTGCTTGCTTGTGATCAAAGTGTACTTGGGAAGGAGAAGTACTGCAATGTGGCAACAAAACCTGTGCACGCAGCTTGTGGTCTGTATATGGCTAGGAATAAGAGTCGTCTCTTTGAATGTGTGTAAGTGATGGATGGTGAAGATGGACTTTGAAGAATGCAAGATAATGCTCCAGCTCCTGTTGCTGCTGCATCGATAGGTTCATCTTCCACTCTCGAGGCCATTCGAGCGATCAAAAACAGCTCTTATTGTCAGTACAAGCAACTCGAGCGTGACAGGAGAAACAGTCTTGATTTCGATTCGACTTTCGCTTCTTCCCTTACGCTTGAAAGTTTGAAGTTCAGCGATCCTCAAATCCGGACCGAACACGGTTTCAATTGGGTTGTGATCAATATGAAGTGTACCGAGGAGGAGATGAAGATGAAGATGGTTGAAGTGACCTCACTCACCTGGCCGTTCATGGTCCAAGATTATTACTGATGCCGAGTTCCTTTCTCCTTCGGTCGAATGTTACTAAGAGATGAACTAGCTGGAGTACGCATTGCGCTCTTTTATCGATTTTGCTAATATGAAACTCATGAATCTGGAGTCATCAGACTTCCTCAAGTTTAGAGACATGTCCGAGTTAAGTCTTGGTGTGACGGAGATCTTGGCCAATGTGCATGGGCGAGGTTTTACAGCGAGACCCGAAAAGTATCAAAAAACAGTAGATGAAGCGTAAATCCTTGCGCTCGAGGGTGAGCTCGAGGTCCACGTTCGGAGGATCGAGCGCATCGTGGAGTAACTTCAGTTCCGGACTCTCAAGTCCGGAAGGGAGTCTTCAATCTTTGAGATGTGTGAAGAGCGACTGCATTTGAGAGAGGGACAGTCTAACCGAGCTGCATGTCCACTGCGTGCATCCGAATCATCGTGGCGAATGGGAGTCCCCTTCTGCCTTTCCCCTTCGCCACCAGCAACGGAGACTCGTGCACGCATTGCGCTAAACCATCGGACGAAACGTCGTCCGGAGTGGGCAAATCGCGAATCAGCAATGGGTTGGTTGGGACGCTGGCCAGTCTCAAAGAAATTCTGAATGCTCAAGAAACCTACGCACAGAAATCAAGGGTTAGGGTGGGTTTAGAAGTGGCAGTTGGAGCTGAATTTAGCTTTCTGGACACCAGGGTGTTTGTAAAAGACAGGCTCCATACTGTTAGCTGGTCCTATCTTTTTGCCATACATATGTGTAAAGGAAATGTAGCTGCTGAAGAGAAAGGAATTTTGGAGTTAGTATCATTGAATGATAAGCATATCGGAGTCCGTCATTTAATCACAGAGACAGGAAGTTCAGCTAGAAGCTATGGAGGCTGGACTTTTGATGTCCTCGTGCCATGAGAGGACCTATCAATTGGTGACCTCTGGCTCGCAGCTGGGTCGACATTCGCGAGCAACTTCTGAAGCGAGCTGTTCGTCTTCTTGCGTTCAGCTCTCCTGTAGCTCTCAAATCAGTGGAAGGAGTAGCTCTTCAAGACTAGCCGGGCAGAGGGAGGGCAAGCAGGAAAGATATGCACCTTCAGCGTTGAATGTCAAATGAAGGAGTTCAACCAATTTAAGCTGCCCAATCAGTCAAAACCCTCTGATGTGATGAAGAAGCCTGCAACGGGTAGTGCTGGAGGTCGTGTGTACGACTCGGTAGTTCAATCTGGAGCTTCCGCTAAGACCTTGGAATGGTATGATGAAGAAAGGATAGAGACATTGTAGACACTTAGAACATTGTCTGCAGGTCAACGAAAGACTGCTTGCAAAATGTTCTTTGAACGCGGAGGAAGCAAGTTCTTGTGCTTCCTCCACGTAAGAAGACATCAGGATCGAGAGGAATTTACAACGGCGGCAGGAGTTTGCCTAGAGTACATGTGCTATTGAGGAGCAGGGGACTTCCAGTAAACGGCAAAAATAGATTTAATCGAGTTTTATGTGAGCAAACTGCAGTAAACAGTGTGGGAATCCGAAGTGAGTCCATCTCTAATTAAGGGACGCAGGTACAACACAAAACAGAGGGGAATGATAATGAGCTATCAACAGCACAAGCAAGATCTGCGGACATTTACACCAAGTCACAGAGCGTAGTGAAAGTGAGAATATGAGAAAGTATGTAGAACGAAAATTGGTTGAAGAAGAGTAAAGAGAAATTGAGCAAGCAACAGATATACCTTCGCAGGATTTGAAACAAATTCTGCAATCATTAGCTTGTGTGAAAGGGAAGAACGTCTTCAGGAAGGAGCCGATGAGTAAGGATATCAATGAGGACGATGTGTTTATTTTCAACGACAAGTTTCAGAGAAAAGCTGAGAGGCAGAGCTCGACAGTATTGGAAGCAGGTGATACTACTAAGGACATTGTAGTAAGGTCAGGGCCTGAAGAAACAGATACGACCATTGCGAGGTTAGGACTGAAGATACATCAGACAAGAATGAACTTTCGGCACAAGCCGAACACATTGTAACGCAAGAGAGGGGCTTATCCTAATTTGAAAAGGAACTGTAAGAGATCGTGGTAACAGTCGAGGACTCATATAATCCAGTGCCATAGAAGCCAAAATTGAATCTAAACCCTTTAAACCTTAAATAGTTCAATATTTAATTAAGTTCGAGATGAGCTGATCTAGAAGCTCTCCTCCTGTAACTGGCAGGTACTCCTTTCGTCTCTTCCTGGTTTCGCTAGAACCAGAACTGTTACTCCATCACCCCAAGAGGCTGCGTGTCCGGCCATTCTCCAGACCTCTTTCTCACAAATCTCTCGGCCTCGTCTTCTTCAAATACTGTGCTGCCGATCAAATAAGTCAAAACGTCACACTGATCGTATCTTCGCTCCGGCTTTCATCTTCATCATGTCATGATGGTCAGATCAGTACTCCAAGAGCTTATTAGGATGAAATAGTGGAGGAAAAGATCAACGACGGTCGATCTGCTTCAGCCCACCTCGTCTCGTGGGAGAAGTGCCCGCTGATCGAATGTGCAGCAATTGGAAGACAACTGAAAAGAGAATCTCGGTGAGCTCACTCAAGTTCCTACTTCTGATGACTGGTGCATAAGGTTTTCGCGCTTGTAGCAATCCAGACCTCCCACGATTTGACGATACCTTGACGTCTCTGATACACTCTTTGATAATACTATTTGTTATCTTCCTTCGAATCTCACCTCGGCTTCTTGGACAGTACAGTAAGCCTTCGGTCGTCAATGATCCGTTTACTGTTGATATCATGATAGAACTAATATGTTTCCTCCCTTCTAGTTGGAGCAATACATTCTTGGTATCCAAAGTGCATAGCTTTTGATTCTTGAATGTGCTCCTCTAGGTTCTTAATCTCCTTCTTCCAATGTCTCTCAATGATCTCAAAATTACCATGAGCCACCCACACAATCCTGATTTTCAAAGGTCCAAGTCTAGGTTGGGAGCAATTTGAACTCGACCAATTCACGATGTGGGCCTCCTTGGCTCGTTTGCAGTTGCTATGACCTTGCAACACAATCCGACTAGAGCTCGACAGCAGAGGTACTGCCACTCATATACGTTTCAGGGCCACAAGTCTTCTTCAGTACTAGTCCTTTGATCTACGACACTTTCTACTTTAGATTTCTTGATTCAAGGCTACAGCTCAGCCCCCAATAGACCAGGACAACTTGGAAAGATTATGAATTTTCAGCCATGCGCGACATCATATTAACTACCCTTGAGCTTCTGTATGATTACTCATTTCGCGAAGAGAAACTACTGTTTTACTTTCTTCCAGCATGGAGAGAGCCCGAATCTTGGGGGTTGAGAAGTCGACAATTGGGGAAACATCATCTCACTACAGTATATAAAATTCAAGCTTGTTCCCACCAAGAGGAAGAAGTGGCGACCTCCGAGCGACTCATAATTGGACTCCAGAAGGCAGAATCTTTCAGACCTCGATGTGCGAACATCAATTTTGCCAAAATTCAGAAAAAAACCAACCATCGTCACTTCCCGTACTTTGTCCCATGCACACACACCTGCGACGGTCAACCACTTTACAGCCAAATTTGAAACAAATCTCTCGCATGTCTGACTGGTTATTGATATGTGCAACTTCGAACACAACACTAACTTGATCCAAGACTCTATTCGACTATCAAAGCTTCATGGATCTACTCGTATCCGAAAATCACAAACATAGAAAAGATTATTACATTTTGTGACTCCAAATCCTTGAGATATCAACGATAATGGATTTTCATAAACGCATTAACATGAGTTTTTTGAAGGAAATTAATTAGGTAATTTCCACTAGTTTAAACACAAATATCACATAGAGTCTAAACAGGCTCACTTTAAAACTCTGGAGATTTCACAACAACGTTAAAAGTTTCAGTTTGAAATTGAACGTTATTCGAGCTTCCCAGACTATATACTCTACATTTACCCCAAAAGGATTATAACTGCAAAACTGCAAAAATCACGAATAAAAGGGAAAACCCTACATAGAGGGTAAAATAAACGGTCAAGACAATCCCACGGAGCGGCGAGAATCGTTCGTTCGTATCCGGGTCGATGTTGGCCAAACCCGCCGCGAAGTTGGCCTTGAGTACTGAGGAAAAGGATAAAGTTGCATAAATCACGAAGAACAAGGAAAATCCTACATAGCCGTTCAAGAGAATCGCACGGATCCAGAAACGATTCTCGGAGATCGTTATCTCCGAGAATCGATCGTTCGTATCCGGGACGAGGTAGTCCAAACCCGCCGCGAAGTTGGCCCAGCCCGCCGCTAAGAAGGCCATCATTCCGAAGTGGACACCACCGACGAGGGGGAAGACCAGCTGGGCCTGCTTACGGACGTAGAAGACGCGAACAGATGTGCACGTGGTGTCCGTTAAGACCCTCGTGATGTGAAGATGCCTGTGCTGCTGCATGGTTTTGGACGTACCCAGGCAGCACATGATCGTGTACATGGAGAAGTAGAAGCACATGCAATCCGTCAACCAGAAAAACAACTTGACTCTTTTATCTGTTGGCGGTTGCAGCATAGCACTGAATGTTACCCCTCCAAGCAGCGCGGCCGCAACCAGCACGGCGTTGACGGAGTTCAGGGCACCCGTCTTCATGCTGTTGACCTCGTTCATGAGCGGCTGGTTCCCCCGCTGGCGCTCGAGCATGTCGAGTACCGATTCCAGGTGGGCCCAGCTGTTCCCGAATTGCAAGCTGCACGAGGATCGTAGCCAGGCCAGATCCAGCGGGAGGACGCCGGACTCGTTGTAGATACTGGGCTGGAACCGGGGATGGTTGCAGAACTTCATGACCATTCTTCGTAAAATGAAGGAGCGGCAGCAGCGAATTGCGAGGTGGAGAGGGGTGTCGGACACGCAGGTCGCCTCGTAGAATCGGAACCGTTCGGATTCCTTCCGGGTCCACCAGGAGTGCAATCTCAATTCCGTCCATGGCGGCCGCGCGAGGTTGACTGTTGATTTCAGGACGGCGTTCACGTCCACTTCTCGGTGGGACATCAGGACGTGGAATGTCTCCGTAGATTCAGCTCTGATGGCGCAGTGCAGAGGAGTCATTCCGTTGCCATCGGCTGTGAGGATATTCACATTTGCGCTCGTGCAGTTGGAGAGGAGGTGCGAGAGGACCTCTGCGTTGTCTTGTGTGGCAGCCAGGTGAAAAATCGTGTGCCCTGCCATCGAGCATTCGTACTTCAGGTAGCGGTCCATGTCCTCTGGTATCATTAACTCTGCATCCAACCTCTGCCTGTCCACGGTGCCCATTTTTTTCCACTTACTCTCAAGTAGACTTCCGTCAGTTCTTCTTCTGTTTTCCTCTATCTCCCGGTACTTATTCCGATTCTTCTGGTTGGAAGTCCCAAAGTCTTCTTTCGGACGAACGCTGGAAAATTTTTGTAAAACATCGTCGCTCGGAAACAATTTAATAGGGCACGATAGCAGCCAGGGCAGATCGTCAATGAGCCTTGCTTCAGTACAAACTGCGCGGTTGATTTGATCAGTCCGCGCATCAATCAATGTACTGACTATGACCAAACTGCAAATTCCCCTGGGCTTCATTACCTCCATGAGCAAAGGAGTGAGGTTCTGAACAGAGTCTTCCGGGCAAATGTCGATACCGGGAAATTTAATCAGTTCCTCGACGACCCTCTGGTGCCCTCCTCCTACTGCATAGTGCAAAGCTGTTCTGCCCAGCACGTTATCTCGGGCATTAACATCAGCACCAGGATTTTTTCCATACCAGTGAAGCAAGGATGTGACGATGGTTTCATGGCCTCCATAAGCGGCGATATGCAAGGCCGTGATGCCGTCGGATGTGGCCACTTCGACCTTCAGATTACCTTCTATGAGAATTGCATCTACTTTATCTTTCTTCCCCTGGGCTGCTGCGTGATGCAGTTCAGTGAAACCTCCGACGGTGGTCGCATTCGCACCTGCACTATTCGGAAGCTGTCGGACTGTCTCAACGTTTATCGCCAGAAACAGGTCACCGTTGCCCAAGCTTCGTTGCTCAGGCTGCGATCCCTCGCTCAACAGATATGTGGAGCCCTCCTGTGAATCCTCTATTTTTTGTTCCATTTTGTCTGAAATTTGCTTCTGCAGATGCGCAGACCAACAACTAGTCTAACCTGCGTCCGAGGTCAACCCAATTTCAGTCATGCTAAGGAAACAGCAGGCGATTCTAATTTTCTAGACCCCTCGAGAAGTGGCCGCATAAGGATCCGACCGGCGGCAAACTTCCATATTAAGCATCGACCTTATCTAGTTCTTGTCTCACACACGATACATAAAGAAGAATAGAAAACCGTCAAACTACTCAGACCCAAATCAGACCAGCAGACTCCAGTTAGTGATTTGAATACAGCCCAAAACGCACGTACTCAAAAGCTAGGAGAGTAGGAAGCTTTCCGTTAGAACTCGTACGAGTCCCACGATATGAATTGCGAGGATTGTGACAAATTCCTCGCAATCCACCTCGTTACTCACATGAGAAAATTCGACATATTCTTGGTTTCGGTGCAAAGCTCTTATACCCAGAGTCCAGGCCCGGAAAGGGACGTCCCCACTAACCAACGCCACGCGTTCCGAACACAGATATACGCACCGCTTTCGCGGATACTAGACATTGACTAGGAGACAAATTAAAGGTCTGAGGAATCATTTATCGCTAGCTCGCAATTAGGTACCATTCCGTGCGCCATTGGCTTCGGGATTTGATGTAGTCAGGCCTCTCTATATAGGGCGGATTCTTTATGTTCTGTATCTCTACATAATAAGAAAAATTGACAGTTTTCGGCCGAATCTTGACCTTATCTCATATTTGCGGCTGAATTTTTCGATAATATAATTCACCTTCGAGCGTAATGGATGTTATCTTTGATCTCCGAATATCATTCTTCCATTTTAGCACCCAGAAATCACTCACCACACCACACAGTGTTCCAAAATAGTCAAACTAATCTTGCGACAAATATTCCATGAGTTGAAGAGATCTATTTTTAAAATTTGGAATCAGACTTTCCGGTCAATAGATTTTTGTGAACCTCGATGTTCTGGTTCATTATTTTATCTGTATCATTTTGTTCCAAAAAAAATTTGAGATTATCTTGCTAAGTTGAATTCATCAGCTGTCGCCATAAAAGTTTAGTTCAGTACGCAAAGATTTAGCTGAATATTTATGATAGTTTCTCTAGTAAAATCATCTCGATCGACAAAGATATTGTAAAAAAAGTCACCCCAAAATTTTAGTCGAGTGATTTCTCTGGTACATACACCTAGACACAACAAAAATTTGTTGGAAATAAGTAACTTTATGGAATATGGCACTTTGGCTCTCAAGTTCGGTATTTGACTATTTAGAGAAGCTTGGATATAGTCCGGATGTAGGCTCGCAAATCAAGGCGACTGCTTTTACCTCCCTTGTCATTGGAATTTTATTATCGTCATTTATTTCATCTTCTTGTCTTTCGTACTCACTTGCTACCATAGCCTATGGTAGGGTCTGCTCTACCCTATGGTCCTTAGGGTAGAGCATGCACTGCGATGTGAATTGCAGCAATCGAAGCATAATTTAAGAAGATATATTCCGCAGCAAAGAATCATACACTCGAGCGATTTGAATATGTTAATAGTTTCTCAACCCTAGCTAGCCTTGGCTGCAGTTCTGAGTGGTGGAAGGTCTGCAGGTGTCCGCGTAATTGGACACTAGATATATCATTGAGAAAAGGTATGGGCAGGGATTGGCAAGGTCAGTTCAGTTTTATACGGACAATTGAGAAGTTCAGTACGACTTCTTCCAAATTCTTGCTCAACACGGTTGATCTAGCCAAAAGTATAACAACATGAGTGGAATGGCACGCTGTTATGCCATACCAGGATTGATAGCAGGAGGAAGAGGGAATGCAGGAGACTTAAAGCTACCTGATCACAACTGCTTGAATTGTTCTTACCCAATGAAACGCCAGCAATTTAGGTGTTGTTGTTAGAAAGTAGTACTCTCTATAGTTACAGTACTTTCAAAGTACTGTAATTCATCCCACCATTTGCTACGCTTGAAATTGTCCACCCAGTTTTTAATTTACTCCAACTTTGATCCCTTTCCTATAGCGCTCCGGTGCAGGTTAGAAGCAAGACCACCTCCAGCAGGATGACCTTTCCGCAGCCAACCATGATTGTGATTAACTACCTTCTGCAGATAAGTAATCTTCGAAGATGTTTAATTGTTGTATTCAGAGGGAGCTGACATATTTTCATTTAAAATCTGCGATTGGACTTGGTATGTGCAAGTTGAATGAAGCTTGTAGAGAGGAGGACAACGTCTTCTTATATATGCATTCTAAGCTCAAGAGAGGTTGGCTATGATTTATCTCTTTAGTTTATGTTTCTCAAAAAATGACCTGTCTTTTATGAGTTTTGTGGTTTTGGCATATATCCTCTTTTATTTAATTTTTGAAATATTCATAGCCAAATTTCAAAAAGATGAAAAAAAATATTGATCTCAATAAATCATCATAAAATAAAATTGAATGACATCCGATTTGAATGAATTACTTTGATGATAACTTTGTATTCATAATTTTGTGATTTGCATTATGACGTACATTTATAAAATTTTAAGTAACAAAGTTTGATGCAAGTTAAAAACATGGTGAGACAAATATTAATATGACATTGATGTCATTATATAAAAATAGATAAAATTTCAACTGTTGAAAAATAAGTTCGCTAGAAAAAAAAATGTGATTTTAATTCTAATGGAAAATACTACTAATTATTTGCACATTTTTAAATTTTTTGAAAATAAAATCTGAGCACAAAGAAATGAGTTGGACATCTTTCATGCTATTTTACGCTATAATTTGAACATTCGTATTATTCTATAGAAAAAATATAACTCTTCATCAAGCACTCGTATTTATGATATAAAAATGTGCAACATGAAATTTTTAGTGAGATGTGGTTATTCTTCTCAAGCACCAAAACTCAGATAAGTTATATACCAAACAACTTATGATGAGTTAAGTTAAATGACATTTTATTGATGCAAAATATGATAAAAAACGTTTGATCAATTTATTTTTGATTGAGATTGCAGCTCAACCAATTGGGAAAAAAATTTGAAATGATATTTTATGTGTTTAGATTCTATTAATCACGAAAAATTCTTTATCCTCTAATGCATTCAAATCAAGTTTCAAGCTAACTGCGATAATCCTATATTTTTTTTTGACTTCTTAACTAAACACATGATATTTCTTACATTGTTTTCCCCTTATGTCATCTAGATTTTTAATCTAGTAAAACTATGAAGTTGTTAATGATAAGTTTCTATATCGATATAGAGCGAATTGATATTATAACATTCCAAAAATTCAATATCCTGTAGATTCGTGATAAAGTATCAAAAAATCATCGATGAGAAAACTCAATGACAGTAAGCTTGGATTCAAGAATCTATTTCGCTTTCCTGCAGTTTGGTGGATCATGTGAATAAGTCCTTCCAATCATACAGCATAATTTCTTAACTGATCAATATGCGTGCATCATCTCATTCAGCTTGGTGCGTGTAGGTGATATGCTTCGATTTAAACAATCAAATAATAATTACAATAAATCAATTATTCACGTGTGTAGACGTGAGTAAAAAAACAGATGTAAATGATAATCAATTAAAGGTAATCGATATTTCTTACGGAAGTATATTTGTTCAATAAAAAATTTATAATCAAAGTTAGATGTAGTGTTTCAAACTTTTTGTTGATGGAGTACTCAACTGTAGCGACGATCTTAGATGTCTTTGCGCACTAGCTTTCGCTGGTTTATCCTGCATATTCAAAAGGAAACACCAAAATGCGTGTGAATCAGACTTGAGAACGGATTTCAGATACCAAATGTATTGATTTCAGTCACTTCAGATTTATTAATGATAATGAATCTGAACAAAAGTCCGTCACCACTTATGCTGGAATTTCGTTCTAACTCGGTGGCGCATGTACGTGTGGAATCTCCAGCATTCATGATATCAAGGTATTCCACGGAGACTCCTCGGAATGGAATTACGTGCCTTCCCGGGTAGATCCCCAATCGGTGGCTCGGACAGTTATTGTCGACATGTCTTCCAATTTTTTCCGGGGAATGACGATCGCTACGAAGCGCGATAGATCTTGTGAGGGAGCCCCCTGTTTCACAAGATTCAATCTGTACAGGTATCAGATAAGTTCGAAGAAAATCACTTCATAAAATTCATCCGATTCGAAGGCGAGAGGTCCCCGCGATGATCTACACCACGAAAATGGATTGCCAGTCTTAGACGTCGAGGCCTGTCAGAGCCATGGCCGTGCAAGACACTCTCACACGTGAACAAGAATCTCCTCGCAGGGCGTGTGCATGTCTGATCCATTCGTTGAGGACTCACCGAGCTCTGAATTGATGGGCCCGGCCAATCACCGACCCAGCCATCGACACCTTCATCTCGGTCCATGGCCGATTGCTTTTCCTACAGAGAGCAACGGATCATTTGAAATGTCGGCATCGAGACTTGTGCGAAGGGCCCTCCTTCTCCAACTGCCTCTCCTCCACATGAGCCTCTTTGTATCTACAGCTGCTTGTAGTACACGTAGAAAGATGTGTAGGACGAGCTGAAGGTAGCATTGATTTCTGTGGGCGCAGATTGAGGAGGTAGCCCGTTCTGTGTGAACAGCCTTTGAACGTAGGTCACATCGCCAAATAGCCAATTCACGCACATCCACAACAATTATCCCACACTTGCAAGTCAGCTCTTCATGCCCCATCAGTGCAGCTCCAGTGACAGACCAAATCCATGGAAAAGCTATGGAGTAAGCTTTAGTAGAACTCCAGTGACAGAACATGTCCAATTTCCGTATCGCAGATGCAACTCACACCCAGGCAGGCAATCGAAATCTACAAAGTGAGGTTTGCTCACGTGTTGGAGGTTTTTTTTATCTGACACTTAACACCCATAGCGGTAGAACTCAGGAAGCAAGCAGCAGAGGCAGTGAGCGAGCTCAGCATCAAACTTACGAGGATCCTTGGGAATTGGTAGCCTTCAGCAGTGCCCAGGTGATGCTGTTGTTTTGAACCTGCGCGGCGAAGAGGCGCTTGCAGGTGACGAGGCTTCGAGGGCACGGGGTCATCCAGGAGGGCTGGCCGCCCTCGGAATCAACTTGCGCCTCGTAGAAGTGGATGCCAACTTTCTCGAAGCGCGAATTGAAGAGCTCAGCTGTGGCGTTCGTTAGGACCCACGCCGTGCCATTAGAGGTGTAATGCTGAGCACCGACTGCGAACAGCTGAGCGATGGGCACATTACCCTCCGGAGGAACTAGCCCCTGGTCCAAATCACTGGGAATGAACACGGATTGCGCATCCTCTGCTGTGAAGGAAGTGGTGCACGTTCCATGGGCACACGAGATCACCAGAGCCGCCAGCAAGCTGAGAATTGAAACCTGCGCGCTCCAGGTTGCCATGGCTGCGAGTACGTACGTATAAGATGTCGGCAAGTTGTTTCCTGTAAATCGTTGGTAGCAAATCTGTTAACCTTCACGCCAATTTTCCAACCGATATAAAGATTGTGCTCGAATGGCGCAAAGAGAGAGCGACTAATTTCTTCCGGTTTTTATTGGGAATTTTGAAGGCAAAACTGCGATTTTGTGAAGGCACTGCAGCACCCAGAGAGGATCAAACTACTGACTGCTTCCTGTTGCACGGAAGCGGACATGCTTGAAGCTAGTTTTACTTTTTCGTCAATATTGAGCTCTGATGCAGTGCCCAGAGGATGAAGGGAGACAGTAGAATAGACTTGGAGAATTTTCATTTATACTTCCCCAGGCCAAGCTTCTGAATTGTGATCTCCCTTTAGAAAAGATGAACCTAGCATCGCACATGGGGACGACTATGTCGTCGTACTGAGCCGCTCACTGTGAGGTAAAATTGGAAAAAAAATTCCCGGAACTTACACGAGAAATCGACGCATCACAGCACGATTCAAAGATTCATAGAAGTCAATCATGTGCAGCTCTTCTGATCAAAAGCTGACAGATAGCGCAGAGGTTTCTTAATTGGTTTAATTCTTACAGTTTCTTTGTCTCTATCTGAAGTTTATGAATTGACGAAGACTCCGTTCAAAAAAATGAGTACACTTTTGAAACATGGTCGTAGATTCTACAACCAAAAGACTGGGCAACCACATGGGTAAATTCCATCGTGATCCCTGGCATGTATTCAGGTGGCTGCAACATCATGCACCCTGATTCTCTCGAAGGAGTTACACTCCATCTTTGTATCATGTGATTATTAGACACTTATTAGAGATTCCAATGACATTCTGTAGAGATTATTCTTCTTACGTAAGTAAGTATCCAATGTTAAAACTAGCGATATCACATGTTTTGAACACTTTCCATCGGAGAAGTGAGTGAAGCCGGTTCATGGAATCATGCACTACCTTGTTTCTCCAATGCTCTTTCTCCTGGACATATTCGCCGTATGTCTTTCTCTCTGAATCGGTCTTTATTAAAGAAGAGTTAATTTCTTATTGAATTCTGTGAATAGTGCAGGATGTTAGTATATTATATTTAGTGGATATTGGATATTGGATCTACCTCTGTCCAATTCTTGTCCTATCCACGAACTGTACATTTAGTGGATAGGACATGAATTGGACAGAGGTAGATCCAATTTCACACCAAGGTCCGCATAAGTTTCTTTGGACCTTGTGCAGGCCTGGAGATTTGGTCTAGGCAGTAGCATATTAAAGTTCTTATGCTTGGACCTCGACTTGTTTCTGCAAAGCGTGGAGGGAGATGGAAGAATCTTTTCAAATAAACAAAGGAAGACAGAAACATCGCCTGGAGAAGAAATGAAAAGGTGTATAGGGACAAGAAGAATTGGGTCGAGGCGTTGTTGATGTCCATGTTATGCGCGCTACATTGCCACGACTTAGACCAAAGAACATGTGAATGTTACATAGGTATTGATTTTCTTTGTAACTCTGTGTGGTACACAGGTGCTTGCTTCAACGGTTTTGGAGAAATTTAGACTTGTAAGCTAAGGAGTTCTTATTCTCAAGCAGTGTAAGTAAGATAATTTTGAGCATCAAATTTCTCCCCTATGTAACTTGCGTCTTCAGCTAACACGTGTATGTTCCTTTGACAATAAGGATCAAAGATGCAAGTATTCGGTTTTGTAAATACGAGTATTATTAACAAAGTGTACATTCCTCCATTTGTGCGTGTCAACGATGCGCAGGGTCGATGCTAATCTTCTCTGTATCTCTAACCTTCCAATATAAACAGAAAAAACAAGTGGTTATACTCAATGTGTCTGGAATAAAACGTTCTTTTACTGAACATTATTTGTGTTGCAGTTTCTATGTGACACATTTCCAATTTCAGTCAGATTTTGTATAGCATTTATTTCCATGGTCTTTCTTTGAAACATTCAATTGAATGAAGTAAAAAAAGATTAATAATGATACATCATATACGTATTTCAGTTTGGTAACAAACTTGCAGAACAAAATTAGAAATATCCTCTACATCTTAAAAGAAGGTGGAAGATTCTGATTAGTTTGAGATATGTACACAGATGATAATGCAACTTCAGCTTTAAGTACTCGCAAGTTGATGTTTAAGTATCACAACTCTTGAGTTACAAAATTAACGGGTAAAACCAACAGCACCGGAAGATATATTGCCTGACGAATTTATTAGTCTCAGAGTTTAGCCAAGTACAGTCTTCATGCAGCTAAAAAAAGTTCGTCCATTCCTGCACATTACGAGCATACGAAAAAGAAGAGAGCACGCAGAAATCCATAGACTCGCTCTGACATCAACGGGTGAGCCACAAGCTTGTGCCATGTGCAAATTTGGAACTCTGCACGAGAGAATCTAGCGAAAGCTCAAGCATTGTCCATATTCTAGTCACCTGTCATGCTTCAGTTGAACAGCGGCCGCTGGAGGATTCGCGCTGCATGGCACAAAATGCTTGCACATGGTGTTATCAACAGTCGGCACGATTTTGCAGGTTAGTTGGAACACTGTGGTAAACCAGGTGATTATCGTAATATATCGTGGAGTACAAAATCCTCAGATCTCCTTCAACTTTTATTTCACTTTACATGATTGACGACTTGTCAGGCAGAGACAACAGAGAACGCTTGCGGCACTCGAAGGAAGTGCCTCGCTATCTACTCAATTGCAGCTCTCTACTCAATTGCAGCTCGTGCAGAGATTGTACTGCTGTACCGAATTTCCAAAAGACTCATCTAAAATTCTGGCTCCCTTCCGCAGGCCAGCGATTATGATGGCATATCAAAATACGCTCACATTATTACTCCTCAGAAGACAAGCTCAAGGTAAGCCAAACCTTCTACGGTTTTCAACAACGCGAGAATTTTCTAGTGTACAAATGGCAGAGAAATTTTCTGCATACTACCTTTAACTATCTTCTAATTAAGCTTGCTCGAAACGAGTGACACTCCGGCACCTTGTATTCTGAACGGGCCTGTTGTTCGCTTCCTGCAAAGAAGAAAGTGCCAGTCTCTCAGATACAGTTCCTGACCACCGCACTCCAAACACATACACACATGCACACAACTACACATCCTCTGCAACTGAGAACAAACTGGACTGACTTGACACTGCATCTGTCGGGCAAGTCCACTCCTAAGCGTTCCATTTATAAATCGATACAAGTCTCTGGCCGAGTGCTTACCGGGAAAACTTTTTGGTATGCGCCGAACTGCGGACAGGACATTTTTTGTGTCTGCATATGATACCATCATTCTTGTGAGTTTGGCAGATAAAATCCAACTACAAAAGAGCTACTTCTTACACATGAACAGATACATCTATGCAATATTATACGAAGATAGCTTTGAGTTCACACGTGCACATATACAGGGACTTGTATGAAAAGCTTTCCAATTTCTATGTCCTCGTTAGGTAAGTAGTTGGCAAACAATAGGACGGCTGACACTGGACCATTCTGTGTAGGAAGAATCCATGCACGGAAACAGTCGCAAGAAAAGGATGCCCTAGAACAAAACAGCTCTCATATAGTTCACGGCTTAATTTGAGATACAGAGGGGACTTAGATCGATTAAATTGTTGAAAATATTTTTCCAAGTAAACAGATTTTTGGAATCGATTAAGTACACAGGCTCATCTTGATGTACAAACCTCGTTAACCATGACGACCCAAGAAACGCCCTCAGTGCAAGGTGGTGTGGTGAGAGATCCAGAATACTGAACATACGACCCCTGCAGAGGCAGTGATTCGAGTGTGATGGGTGCCATGGTGGTTACATTTGTATCAGGTTGTGTGATGTTCGGCAACCAAGAAAACACCTGCACCATCAGCCAGCAATGTCAGACATAGCGTCTCATTATCCTGAAAATTGTAAGCATGCCATTTCGGCTAGGAATGCCACTTGGCCATTCCATCCATCTTTAGCGTGCACATGCCAAGTGACTCATTGAACATTCCCTACGAGATGAACATTTACCAGACGTTTTATAATAAATAGCAAACAGACATGTAATAGCTACCTGCTTAAGGAAAGGACTCTCAGCATCGTCGTCATGACTTTCGTTGAAGAATATGGCAATGACAGCGAACTTGCCATCTGCGCTTTTGTGAAACAGATGCACTTCGAGGTCAAAGCTGCCAAACGTATGAAGTTCTATCAGAATCAGATGGAACCATTCTGGACTCACGTCGCTCAAAAGAAATTGATTCTGGGATGATTGATAGAAATAAGACTTCGAGACGTGTAGCAACTGAAGTCTGTATACCTGACGCCATCGATGGTGTGCTCGCTTGGCGAGTGGAAATGAAACTTCACCAACTCGTACTTGACACCGTTCAGAGTGAGATTGCCAAAAGATCCATCTCCTTCAACCTGTTTAGACAATGAGCTTTTGCTATCAACATATGAACGAGGCGCTTGAAGCGGGAGAAATGAAAAATAGAAATCTTCACTCTTGCACGAGAAAGCTTGATGAAAGGAAAGCCTTCGCCTCAGACATAATTTCGGAAGTGGAGTGAATAAACTTCGTCATTCTCTTACATCCAGATGGTGAGCCGATTTGTCGTTGATGATCACGGCGTACGTACATTTTCCATATTCAGTATCCAAGCGATCTTCGAGAGACTTGTCCAGAACTGTGTCAGCGATGACAACATCTATCGGAGATTGCTTGGTCCCGTTGGCGCAGAATCCGCCCCATTCTGCTGGCCCTCGCAGCCCAGACCCATATTCAAACCCGTTTTCTGCACGAGTTAAATTTCATGAGTTCACCACCGACGTGTTGGCAGAGGATGCTGGGAATATTCGGATGAAATTGTATGAGGAAGATCATAGAACTATTCAGAAACTTAATAAAACAGAATGGACACACCGGGCCAATTCACGTAGAGATCTGGGAGATGTGCATAGTTTTGTAAAAGCTATTCAGACCTACGTAGCATACTCATGTACAGGTTTAAGTGCCCTGAATAATATGCGAAGACTCACATCGGGCCAGGAACCACAGGAGGAACCTGCTCCAGTGGGGATCAGACTAACCTGCGGCACTTGCTGTCGATGAAAGAACCAAAAGGGCACTCAGACACACCAAAGCACAGCGACGGATCGACATCTTCTGTCGTCTGTGAGCGTGGGCGATGCAGTGAGTGTTTACACCTGCTTCCCTAGAACTCGAACAGAGTACTCCCGAGTTCAACTGGAAACGTACTGTGGAACTCACCCAGATCAAAAGAGAGCAGCTGGAAGGTCAGTGAGGTTCTCTGACTTCGAGTCCACAAATGCCTGCTCTTCCAATTATCTGCTGAGGAATTTATACTGGAAATTCGAGGCAGGAGAACGTTTCAAGGACTCCATCGAAACGGGCCCCTTGTCCTACAGGGGGTTGACCGATGTGATGGATCTGCATGTTTCACGTACTTGACGAGAGACAGCTAAAATTTATCTTTGAGTTTACAGAGCTTCACACGCTTGTCGTTATTGATAATTACTCGACGACATATCTGTCCCTGACAGTTTCCATAGGCCGGAAACTCTAGAAGATGACAAAGAATCTTGCATGTAGTCTAACTTTGGTAAGAAGATTCTTCTTCAACCGGATAACTAAGCACTTGTAACCTATCGATGGAGAACTGCAAGTAGAGGTGCTTCGTGCAATGAACTTGCAATATAGAAACCTCTTCGAGGCAGACCAGGTTCTCGGCGCGCAAGTGTCTGCGTAGAACTGGATGCTTTCAATAGTGAAATTCTATATACGTACCAGCGTACCAGGAGATATTCTATATACCAGGAGATACACCCGAACACCGTACAGTAGTACGGAGGATACCAGTACGGATTTGACTCCAGTGAAGTACTACGGTCGGGTGTAATCCACCATTAGAAGAACAGCCTAAAACTGGAACTTGTGGCTTATTTAGCGATGCAGGTCAACGTTCACAAATGTCGGCCCAAATCGACAAACAGTCCCAATCCTAGTCGCATTCCATGTGAAGCTAGATCACCTGGAAATTTTTACGACCGGTATAAGATTTTAGAAGTTCATAATCAGCCACAATTCATTGATTTGGAGACCTGTTTAGACCTGGAGCTTTTGTTACGCTCTTACAGGAACTGAATCCCCTGGATTGCCATGCGGTGGAGGCAACCGGCTCACGAGTACTTGTAGAGCAGGGTCTTCTCTTAAAGCACCTTGTCCAGATTTATCACAACTGAGTTCTGCCTTCCAATGAGAAGAAGCAAGCAAACAAAAGAAATTATTCTGTTGTGTTTAAGGGTCATCGTCATTAGAGCAACATGGGTAAGTGCATGTTCTACACTGTATCTGATTGCAACAGTCAGCACACTTGAGAAGATCAGATATGCTGAAATTTTGTGGCTCGAGAAGCTCACGGCCTTCACTCGACCTCCCCAAGTTTTCTGCTTCGCTCATATGTTTTCCGGATATGGGTTATAAATCCCGAGATAAATCATGTTTCAATCCCAGATTCATTGCCCTCTTGGATACATCACCGAGCTGTTGTTCATGCACGAGCAGGAGAGAGAAAGATGAGGTAGAAGGCGGGAGTGTATGTTGACTGGTAATGAATCTGATATCTTGATTGATGCCAGCTTCAGTCTTGTATACCAAAATATCAAGTGGCGCTGTGAGCCAGTTCTGCTATAAAAAGATTGCACTTTGGAAGTTTTGAACTCCATGGCGAAGTTTTTGAACTCTATGACAAAGTCTGCGGGGATGTATGCTAAGCGATCGAGCTCAGGCAGTGAAGGAATTTAATTGAGATCTGATTTGACAGTCTCTGCGCAGCTGGAAGGTGATGAAGATTACGAATTGCAACCGACTCAACTCACATCGAAGCAAGGATTGCATTGCCTGAGACTATATTTGAACAGTGCCCCTTGAGGCCAAAGCGGGCTTGAATTCCATATCCACCGATGACCACATTTGGCCATATATTGAGCTGACTAATCGTCCATGGCCTAATAAAAGAAGATGAATCCTCTTCCACAAAACTCATGTCCACAAGTCGCACTTTTGTGCCACTGAGTCCAAAGTCCAGACAACATTCCACAAGTACAACTTGCAGGTAAAGTCAACGTGTTCGTTCGTGGAACTTCACGTAGAAGCCCTCCACGTGCGAAGCAATAAATTCAATTTGGTTGGTTCTGCTCCACATGGTCACAACAACATATGACCCCATTCGCATAGAGCCAGCTAAAACAGATATGACTTGCAAATTTCGGACAAGCTCTAAAAATAACTGGCTTCCTTCTACAGTTTATGAAAGTTTACATTTGTCCATTCATTAACAGTTAAAGTCATTTCATTAACAGTTAATGAAATGACAAAATGAAAACATTATAAGCTGAACGGGTGGCACAGATAGGAGTGAGTCCTTTTGAGCCAAGCACTGCTCAAGATGTGCTCTTGCATCCGCTTGTAAGCGGTTTGGATGCTTGTGTTGCGCACTATTTGCAGATTTGATCAAGAGTGCGGTCTCTGTTCACAGCAGTACTCTTGAAGATGATGATGTCTTCCCTGCATCTGAGGCTGCATGTGTTTGGATGAGTTCATCCCTCCGGTCTTCATCATCTCAGTTGAGTCTGAGACTGAGTTGTGGTTCTTAGTGAGGCAGGGACAGACATAATCCTAACCACTGAATGAATCCGCCCACATCGTATCTCCTCAAGTTGTGGATGCATCTTAAATTAAACTCACAAATTTGAGTGGATTCGACATCTTTCCATCGAGTTTACAACAGTTCTTCGAGCTCTTGAAGGGCCACACGAGGCTCATCAACTTGAATAGTTCTGTATACGGAGTGCAGACAACGGACATGCCGTTGTGGAATTGACATCAAGTGTTCGACCCACTTGCTCATAAGGCCATAGACCATAAACCGTTCGGCGGCTGGACAGGCATCAAACACATGATGACGGCGATTAGACTTGCAGTTAGTCCGGTTTAACAGAAGGAATAGAAAAATAGTTCAAGACAAGAGCTTGTTGGTATTCTCAGAGATGGACCTGTACTAAAATTTCATGTCCTTAACATCTGCCAGGTCGTGGACACTTCAAAGACTCAGGGTCTCGGTTCCGAGGATTGATTTACTCGTTACTCAATAGACTTCTAGTATCCTGGACTTAGAACTGTTCATTGGTGGAGAATAATTAGCGAAAAGTGACATCGCGGCCTGTAATTAAGAACTACAGAAATGGAAAATAAATAAGTACAGGCTTTTAGTGCATGTTTCTTACTCCTGGTTATAAATCTTAGTAACTTATCCAGGCATTCTTGTCTACCGATTTCCACCAACAAATTTCAGCCAAATTTCTACTTCGTGAATAGTCATAGATGAGAGAGTTATTTGATGGGACCCCATCAGCATGCAGGAGTCTTAATGGGACCCAATAAGTTCTATTTATACGATGGGACCCTTCCTACAGCAGTTTAGTACAACGTCACCTATATTTTACTACGACTTGTTGTAAGCTTTGAGTCCGGTTAGGAAATGCGATGCGGCTCTTTGTTGAAAAATGATTTCTCCCCGAAGTTTAGTTATTTTCTAGTTTTTAACGAGTCAGGTTCAGGTACTCAAAGCAGTGACTTTACTTACCAAAATAGGCAGCGAGGGCAACTTTGTCCAAGACTTTTAGAATAAGAGAAGTGTAAGTAAATAATGCCCATATTTTATAATTGTAACATCATTCTCGGCCGTGAGAAATTGGGCTCCCGCATGTAAAGATTTTCAGCCATGGGTATTCCGACTTACTGAGCTTTGGGGAAAATTACGTGAACTGGAAACAAAGCAATTACAAGAACTCCTATAAAAACATAGGTGACGAGAACTGAAGTGTTGCCCTAGAGGTACCATCGGGTAAAAATGTAACTTAATGGGTCCCATCCGAGTTCTGATGGGGTCCCATCAAGTAATTTTCTCGGAAGTATTTACTTGAGGGGACCCCATTGGAACCTAAATTAGTTAAACCTAAAGTTTCGTTCTAACCCATGGAACCCATCGAAGTTACACGTCACGCATATTCTAATATCAACATACAACGGAACTGTGACAGCGAGATCGTACTCGTAGTCCATCATTGAATCGTTCAAATCTCCACTCAATGTAATCGGACTTGGACCTGTCTTCGTTCGAGATTTCCCATTGCACCAAAATTTGTAAAAATAACTGACATTCGAATTCACAAGTACTTCCCTTCACTCTCTGTGAATTTCGTCCACAGATTCCACACATCCTTTGTTGCTAAACGAGTCTATTTTGAGCTCACCTAAAACCTCTGAGCTTGTGACAATGTCTCTCACAGTTCATCGTTCTAGGATTTCAGAGTTCCACTAACGTTCGCATATGATGCGAACTTTAGTGTATGCCTGTATGACGTTGGTGGGCTCCAATCGGCTAAAACGATACTTGATGGATCCCCACTCTAGAATCCCAGCTGTCTATTGCAGATTCGGGCTCATATGCATTTGTAACTTGATGAATGTCACGGCTAGTGAATGTCATTGTCAGAGTGGTAGGTAGTCGCTAGTTTAGTGAAAACTGGATGGCTGAAAAGCACGATTTCGCAGGCCCGAGGTGTACAATTCAAAGGTTCACTTTCGAGTAAGATTCTCCGGAAGGAACGAGGCGAGGGATTCGTCCACCAGGAAATGAAAAAGCCAGGTACGATTACATCCTCCCCTTCTTCCTTTGAAGCGTTCAGGTTTCCCGAAGTTCTCTATTTTTGGAGCTGCCTCCATTTTCTCCATACCGTTTTGTCTCCTTTCCGCATCAAATACAGTAGCCGAATATGTGTCTGGAGTTGATTCTTTTGGATGTGTCTCCATTCTAGCCAAAGTTCTATCGGCAGCAAAATTGAATCTCCTGGTTTTTGTCTTCTCTTTCTTTTCAGCGCAAGGGCCGAGGCCCACGTGATTTTATTATATGACGAAGTTCAGCTGCGGACGGTTTGCTTCCCCTATGACAGATTCCGAAGATTCCAAAGGTTCGAAGGTGTCATCTAGTCAATAAGGTAGTTATCAGTATTGCCCCTAGTTTCCTGACCGGTTTCAGGATAAGTGAGCCTCGCCGACAACTTCTTTATGTACATCGTGAGCTGTCAGTGCTCCCTATGGAGACGAAGGAAAGCAGACAGAGAGTGTTGCAGTGTCCAGGCCCTGCTTTTGTTATTGAATCCACTCACATCGAATGCCTTAAGGAGCTCAGTGGCTCACTCTCCGGACCCTAGGGAAAGCTGCCATCGAACGCAGTCTC